TTTTTTTTTTTCTTTTTCTTTCTTGGTACCAGGAATTGAACTCCAAATCTTACGCTGGCCAGGAAGGTGCTGTGCCTCTGAGCAGTATGTCATGTCCCAAAGTTTAGTTTGCAAAGCCTTGGAAGTGTTTTTCATTTCTATGCCTAAACTACACTCAGTCCTGGCAAGAAGGAAGCCATTGTCAACCAGCTCTATTCTCAAGGTCTTTGCCATGCTAATTAGTGTCAGATCTGTACCTAGTTCACAGGCCCAGGCATGTGCAGAAGTTCCAAAACAGCCTCACAGAGTCTCTAAATCTCTTACTGTGCTATTCAAGGCTCTCATTTCTCTACTGTCCACCTGGCTACTCCCACTTCGCTGGATATTCCATTTTATTTAACCAGATTCACCTGTTTTCATGTTTGAGCCATGTTCAGAACCCCAGCAGAAGAAGAACAGAGACACAAAAGAAGAGTTTGGCTCTGCCCTCTTGAAGCCACAGGTGAAGAAAGAATTCTCTCCTCAGAATTTTGGCTCTTTGGTTCCATGCTGGCCCCTTTTGGGGTCATAATCGCTGCCACCAGATTACCTGGGGTCTGGGACATGAAAGAATGAACAAAAAGGAGTGTAACTACCTTGGCGAGTTTTTTTTACCATCAGAGTACTAAGAGTTCCATTTCTTACAAATTCTATTTCTTACCCCTTGAATCAAAACCAGAGGGCTCTCCTAAATTTCTTTTTCTACACTAGAAAGCTCCCTGGATTCTAGGCAATATTGAGTCTAGGTTCGGGCATTACTACAGTAAAGAAAAATCAAGAACTCACCATGCTTTGAACTCTGGTTCTTTCTTGATCTGCCGACAGATACGTACTCTTTACAGTTCTCAGACAGCTGCCTACCCATCCTATCCAGGACTTAGTTTTATTTAGTGGAAGAGAAAATTACAGTGTAATTATTGCATATTACCTGGAACCAGAATTTGAAGATAAGTTTTTAAATAGAAAATGTGGCTCTACCCCTTTCTCTTTGTAAACACTTAAAAACAACAAAGATAGGGGCCGAGGAGATGCTCAGTAGAATAAGCACTTGCCTGGCAAGCACAAGGGTCTGAATTCAATCCCTTGTTCCAGAAAAAAAAAAATCAAAGATAACAAGAAATAAATATAAACAACATCTTCACTGAAATCAGTAATCATTGGCATTCTTCTACCAAGTAATTACAGCAGCAGTCAAATTCAGAGGATTGATCCATGACTGAAAATCTCAAAGCTCATAGAGCACATTTTCAAAACAGGTGGCCAACTCTGAGAGAAAGACCTAACAATTCCTTTTTCAACATAAACAAAATGCATAAGTAGAATGAAGAACTCCCACGAAGTTTTCCACAATGAGAAGTAGAAGCAGTTTGTAATGTATTGAATAATATCCCTCCTCCAAAATTAAATTACTAAAGAATTCAAAACCATTTTATATCTGTATTATAAAATAGTTAAGAAAGATATACCGCTACTTTTTCTTAATGCAGTGAGAAGAAAGATTTGTACTAATAATGTTTGGACAGGATATCACATCTGCATCTTGTACTATGAATACTACGAAGACAACAATACACAATGTATTAATGATTGTAACTGTCCTACTAACCTGTTTTGAAACTGTCTCATTGCTATTTGTTTCTCAATAAAATTAATTTAAAAAAGGAAAGTTAATCTAGGAACTAGTAAGCAATTACTACTAATTAGCAAGATAAAATGAGGTGATACTAGATTACAGGTGAGCTCTGAATCCCCTGATTGGATCCTTATTAGACATGGAATCATCAACGACATGAAAGGACTAGAGGGAAAGGACCTCATGAAGACTGAGTCAGGGATGGAAGCCAAAAGAAGGCCAAGGATTTCTGGGGAGAGATTGAGAATCATCTTGCTGTAGAAGCTTTTAAAGGTGTATGACCCAGCTGCCACCTGGATTTCAGATTTCTGATATCCAGAACCACAGAAGGAAAACTTTTTGTAATTTTTAGAGATCTAGTTTGTCATAATTTGTTACAGCCTTCTTAGGAAACCAATACACAGATGATAAATCACTTTTAGAAAAATCATATCTTTTCATTAAGACATTTGGCCTGAGCAAACAAATCTCTTTTGATTTGACCTCAGCAGTATAACTGTTCATTTTTGTTCTATAGGGAGAAATCATGACTAAAAGCTACCCCAGGCACACAACCTTGTGACATAAAGAAATTGCCAATGAACCAGAAATTTTTTTCAGTTAACCTAGAAACTGATCCAGCTTTTGTCCCCCCATAATAGCCTTCAAGTACTTTGAATGTGGAAAACTAAAGGGAGGGATCAGACAGAGAATGATTGGGAAGGGGAAGTGAAAAGAATTAAGCTGTGTTACAGTTAAGTTGTACATGTACCAACTCCACATGATGAGTATAATCATTATGTACTGTAAATACATATGAATTAAATTAAAAATAGAAAGAATGTGGCAGACAGCCTCAAAGGGGACCACTTATGATTCCCAACTTCTGGTATCTGGCTCATGATGTAATGCCCTCTCTTTGAATGTTATTGGTACCTGGGACTTGATTCTCACAATTAGAGTACAACACAGGATACACAATGTCAATCCTAGATGAAGTGAGATGCCAGTGGTGATGAAATATCACTCCTGTGAATCTGTCACAGAAGACTTAATATTGGCAACAAACTCTCATTCTCCTGATGGCCCTGAAGAAGCAGTCATGTTGTTAGCTGGCTAGGGAGAGAGCCATGTGTCAGAGAACTGTAGGTCACTACTAGAACTAAAGCTGATCTCCAGTCAATAGCTTGCAAAAGCTCAAGTTCTTAGTCCTATAACCATAGGGAGATGAATTCTTCCACAACGTAAGTTTGGAAGCAGAACTGTTTCCAGTCAAGCCTTGACTTGACTCAAAACAGTTGATTCAAACAGTTGAATCAACACTTGATGCCAGCCCAGTGAGACCTTGAAACAACAGAGCAATAATTATACCTTGAATCCTGACCACAGAATGTGATCATTAAATGTAACATTGAAAGTATATACTACATGCCACGAAAAAGTGATAAAGAATAGCTAATGTGGTAGACATAGCATAGTAAGTTAGTGAATTTCAGTAAAAAAGAAGCAATCCTTTAAGCATGTAAGCAATCATATAAAACCAATTACTAGAGAGCTTAACAGTCTTGGTTGAATGAGAAAATCTGCCACTCAGAGTTCTGGCAATAAAGTGCTTAATATAAGAAATGCAGTTTTGTTTGACTTCTATAAGCATTAGTGGAGCCAAGGTCGGGAGGCTGTCCCCAAAGGCAGGGAAGTAGCTGCAAATCAGTACTTCTCTATGGTAAGCAAAGCCATTGTGAATGTTATATTCATCCAAGTCTTTGTCTTACAGTCACCTCTCGAGAGCTATGTTTCTACTCCTCTTGTGTCTCTCAAATTTCATTTGTGTGCTAATCACAGGCCAACTCTAACCTGAAGCTACATAAAGAGTCACAGAACTGCTGTTTCTGGCTTCATCTCTACAATACAAAATCAAGTATAAACTGGTGTGGTCCTAATACTAGGTTAGCAATTGACTATCCAACATAAAGGGCAAAAAAATCAGTCTTGTTTCAGATTCTGTCCTGTAACAGTCAACACTAAGAAACAGTGTAGTGATGCCTATTCATCCTTAATTCAACCAACAATTTATGCCCAGCCAGGCCTGTTATTCAATTATAAGCAAATGGGCAATTGTTTGAGAGCCTTAAATAATTTCGATTTGCAGTTCTCATAGGCAGTTCCGCAATGCACTTTAGAAGACAACCTTCACTAAAGGATTAATTAAAAAACTGCATTGAAAGAAATATTTGTGAGCACTGAACCCTAGCAGATATACTAAACAAATCTGGTGATAACACCACAAAAATGTGCATAAAATAATTTTTGTCAATATAAAAATAATGCCATGAATAAAAATTTGGAAAAAAATATATATTCATTTATAACTAGAGACAGAGGTACTATTTAAAAACTGATAAATCCAAAAAAATAAATGGATATAAATATTTAATGATATGCAAGTAGCATAAGAATATGATCAATGAAACTTAATGAGAAGTGAAGGAAAGGGAAAAGAAATATTATTACTTATACAAAGGACCAGCAGATATTAATACACAGGATAAAAATACAAACCATAGTAAAAGATTCCTTTTAAAAAGTTTCTATAATCTAGAAATGATTATATAATATGTGAAGCAAGACCAAGTACAAAATTCTAAAATAACCTCAGAGATCCATTGGAAGGTCAATTCATTACCAAGGTACCTGAAGCACAAGCTCTAAATTTTCCCCTTGGTAAAGCCCAGGTTGACACTGGGTTTTCTACTTGTGCAAACTCTTTTATCCTTCCACTCTTTTCTCGTGGTATTTAGGAAGGGTTTTCTGACCTACTCTGCCACCATGAGTGATGAAAGGCGATTTAGTTCCTGAAAAGTATTATGATTTCATTGAGCTAAGTAGCTAAAAACACTGCAGACTGGGTGATAAGGAAAACTTTGTCATCTCAGAAATAAAGAGCAATGGAAAGCCTCTGAAAATAAGAGGAAATGAGTTAATTTGTAAAATTAACTTGGAGCAATCTAGGGAGAGAATAAGAGATGAAAATCGGACATGAAAATCCTACATAGTCAGAACTGGAACAATCATTAGATGGCAGAGGTGAAGGGACTTACACAAGGTGACACAGTGATGTGGACGCAGAACTGAGACTAGGATCCGTATCACCCCACTCCTGTATTTCCACTTTCTAGGGTAGCAGGCTGGCTTTTACTAAAAAGGAGCATTTTGCAGTTGATGATTGGCTAGTTGGAGAGGGGGACCTTTGGAGGGGAAGATACAAAAAATGGGAGAATAATGCTTGAAAATGAGGAGGATAGTGACATTATTATTGGAGAAATGCTTTACTATACAGAAAGAAGAACTTTTATGTAATTCTTTATAGACTTTCTCTTTCTTTCTAGGTAATGCAGATCGTGATCAAGCCATATGTATGTATTATTGTCCTTTATTTCTTGAACAATTTAAACATTTTCATGTGAAATCCAGCTTTCAATTGCTTCTTTACTTACAGATTACCAATTTTGGTATCCACGTTGGGAAGTACCCCGGCCAATTGTGTGTGATCCGCTGTGCATGTTTGTTTTATTAGTGAGATTAGTATGCTTTCTGATGTGTGTCATGATTGTTTTGATAGTACAGCCTCATTTTCCATATATCTTCTTGGAAAAACAGATGGTATTTACTCCTGAAGAATCTGAAGTCGAAAAAGAAAAGGAGGAGAAAGAAAAGGTACAGAAGGAAAAGAAATCAGAAAGAAAAAAAGAGGAGAGAAAAGAGGAAGAGAAAATAGAAGAGAAAAAGAAAGAGGAAACAGAAGAAGAGGAAACTGAAAAAGAAGAGGAAGAGGAAGAGGAAGAGGAAGAGGAGGAAGAAGAGGAGGAAGTGGAGGAGGAAGAAGTGTCATCATGAGTCAAGAGCGTGACACAGAAGCTACAAACAATAAAAAATACACAAGCCATTATACGGTGTTTTTATTCTTTCCTATATTAATTCAACAAATTTAAATTTGAAAATTAAATGCAAACAAAATATGTGTTAAATAGAAAATATTAAGACATACTGAGGTACTACAAACAGATAAAGATATGACAAGATGAACACTAAAAAAGATTTGACTCACCTGATCATCTTAAAATGCCTCCGTGGTATCCTGACAAAGGAGTAAATCTTCTAAATCTCTTTCTACCTCTGAGCTTTAAATACTTTTCATAGGAGTTAACAAGTTTCTCAACTATTAGATAATATTGTCTATATGGGATGCTTAGGCCCATTTAATGACTATTGGTTGGTTCGTTTTTATTACCATCAGAGGTGTTACTGGTGGTGCTGATTTTCTCCGTGTGATAGTAAGCTTTATTTATCTTTATAACATGTGTTTTTGGAATGGCTTAAGTATATCCTGTTAGAAGATAATGAATGACCTGCTAGAAAATACATTTATTATTTCTACTCCATGTTCAGTATTTCATTAAAGACTCGGTATAGTTTTCATCAAGGAATAATAAATGCAAAAATTTATGTATCACTGCAGTGTGGCTACTTCCAAATTTACATTATGAAGTAAAATATATGCTTCATTTATCTGTAGTTTTTCAGGATGCTTAAAAACGGTAGCAATTTTATAAAGTAAGTTATCTAGCACTGTTAATACTAATAAAGGAATTGTGTAAAGTTCTTAATGTTGCAAAACACATCAAATGACATACGCGCTCTACTTGTCTATTATCTTTCATTGTATCAATATTTATTAAAATCCTATTCCAAAATGAGCCAAGATTAGAGTAATAGCCACCCCCCGAAAACACTGTCTTTTTGGATGTGAATTTCTGTAGTGTGTTTGTATTCTGCTTCATAGAAACCACTTCCAAGCTGCTTTCTCATGATTATTTCATTCTCTTTGGGATGTTAATGTCTTCATTTTAAAAATGAGAAACTTGACTTGATGTCCTAAAATCGGTGAACCTTGGACAAAATTTCTGAGTAATAGGATGCATCTATAACTAAAACTTTTTATGATACTATGCTGATTTCCACATTTAACTCAATTCTGTGTCTGTATATTTCTCAATTTTTATCTTCTATAGCTAACCTTCAATATATTGGTCAGGCAATAATATGATTGCCCTCGGCCAACAGCACTTTCAGTGGCAGCAATCTCCCTCCATCCCCGGGTCCTGTGGCCATAGCTGGGAGCACTTTTGATTGTCACGAGCAGGGAGGTATTTCTGCTGTCTGGTCAGCAGAGGCCAGCAGTGCCACTAAACATCCTCCAACACAGAATGTCTCAACAAAGAATTGTCTAATCTGAATTGTCAGTAGTGCCAAATTGGAACAGTTCTGCTGTAGACCTGTTTCTACCCTCAAAATGTATAAAATACATATGCTTTGGATATGGCATATTTTTCCTTAAGTCACTTTTCTGAACACTGTTCTCCTGTCCTCTTTCCCATCCTTCTCCCTTCCCTTTTCCATACCTATGTGGTTACCCTGGGGCAGTCAGTCACTTATTACTGTGATTGTCTCTGTAGTTCTGGGATGGTTGGCACAGCTGAGCCACATTGCAGTATTTAGTTTAGGAATGCAAATAAACATTCAGAGCAGGTCCTACCTGGTGACAATGTAAAGTTTTATTATGTAAAGATTTGAAGCTATTTAGCAGACTATATGGGGTAAAAAGAAATACAAAGGAAAAAGCAATGAAAGTTTATCCCCCTAAAACCTAGGTTTAGATCCTCTCATAGAAACTGTTTTGTTTTCCAGAATATATTCCTTCATATCCGGACATGGTTAAAGAAACAGTATGTCCTCTTCAGTTCTATTTCCTAAATCTGTGTCCCAGGCATGATTTCTAGTTCTCCTAGAACCCAACACCCATTGTGTTTATTAAGCTTAGGTTTTTAAAATTTGTTTTTTATACAAGTTACCAGTTGATCCATTCACTAAGCATAAGCTTATTAGCATGAATGCCAGAGATGTCCAGGGAGAGCATCTTTGTTCTATTTCTATGACATGGAGTTCAAGTAAGTACTTCAGAGTGGCCTGGGTTAGTTTGGAGTGATGGATGAGGATTTCTTTCCTTAAAGTACTTTGTAGTCTACTCTGCACTATAAACTCTGACCACTGAGATTTTCCTGGTGTTATTGAAGTAATCTCTAGTTAAAGGCTCTGTTCTAGACTTATATGCAGGATATGACCAAGGCTAGAAAAAGAGATAATTCTAGTCCCTTCCTCATTATACTTTCAGTTTTGCAGGCATACATTTGCTAGTGAGGTCTAGTACTATTATGTGTGTAATCCTGTGATTACATTACCCAGTACTAGATAATGCTGCTGATTTGTCTATGCCCTAAACTTTTTTTGTGTCCTTTACATCTGTAAAGACTGTTTAATATTCTCAAATGATTGTGTGCTGTATACTCATCAGTCTATGCACATTGTCAGAATAGTATTTGTACAGAGTGATGGCAATGGGACTCTGAGATAATTAATGGGAAGGAGATAATACTGTGATATCATGATGACTTTTTGCTGGCCCTTGGTTTAGCTAAGGCCTTAAGAAGTATGTCAGTGAATATCGACTCAATGCTAGTCATCCAGTGCTATTATCAGGCTTCCATTGAGACAGGCATGGGTCAAGAATGTTATTCTTTAAAATTAAATAGAGAAGGTTTCTGGGTTTTCTGAGACCTCACATTCTCAAACAATGAACTGTAGAGCTTGATGATTACTACACTATGAGATAGAAAGTACAAGCAACCAGACACAGCAGGGGAGTGAGCCTGCTGGACAAGGAATGGTGACTCTAATGGAAGTAGAAACCACATTCTTTCAGGGCAACCACGAACCTTTTCTATATAATTCAACACAATGTTGCTGGGAAACCTTGTTTATTTGCTGGGAGTCACTGAATAGTATCTTTTCCTTTCCATCCATGGCACAAGCTCAGCATTAGGGCCAGCCAGATTGCTCAGCGAATTAAAGTGCCAGCAAGCAGGTACAGGGGCCGGGGGTTCAATTCCCAGGTCTGCTGTGCTGGCCCTGCCCCCGGGGTGCACTGAGATGGCAATTGAGAGTGGGCATGGTAGCACACACCTGAAATCCCAGCTCTTGAAAGACTGTAAACAGGCAGATCATTATGAGTCCAATCTAGTAGTGAGACTTCTATAGAAGTCTCTACCCAGAGACTATAGACCTTCCCCACCACCAAAAAAAATGGAGCTCATCATTGTCCTGAAAGAGGTGACTGTCAAAATTACATGCCCATTAACAGATTGGGAATACTGCTTCAGTCAGAGAAAAGGTAATCTTAATCAGCATGAAATAGAATATCTAAAAATATGTAACAGGGTTGGGGAGATGGCTCAGTGGAATAAGCACTTCCCTGGCAAGCACAAGGGCCTGAGTTCAATCCCTGGTTCTGCCAAAAAAAAAGGGGGGGCTGCCCCTTAGCTCAGTTCCGTAAGTGACTGCTTCAGCAAAGCAGTCAGGCCCAGGTTGCTGTGGTTCGATCCCCACAACTCAAGCCAGCCAAACCTGCCCTGAAGGCATTCAGAGCAAAATAAATAAATAAATAAAAATATGTAACATCTGAGAAGTATGGTCTTCTGCTTTTTAAGTATACTTGATAGACTCTTGTCAGTAGAGAAAACCATTATCACTAACCTGTCTCATATGAGTTGTAACAGAGCAGCATTGGTGACTGGCCTGCCCCACAGAGTACTGCTGGTGTGTGTGTGTGTGTGTGTGTGTGTGTGTGTGTGTGCATATACAGTTTTAAAAGACTTTGCTATATCTTCTGGCAATAATATACCAGTTTTGAGGAAGAGAACTTCAGAGCTACACAGCACAAAACACCCAGAGAGTCAATAAGAGTAATGATAACTAGGCCACTCCCTTCTACCCTTGCCTCCTGTTCTTAGAGAGGCTTCCTAGTAGACGTGTTCTTGCAAAATATTGCTTATAGACTGGAGTATTAGCTTTCCCTTTAAGAAACTATTCTAATACTGTGTAACAGTGTAACATGGTATTATTTCTAATATATTGGATTCCATAGTTAGGCTTTCCCACATAACTCCTTCACTATGAAGCACCACCTCTGCCTGGGCACTACCTTTGTAGCATTCTATGCCTGTGCATCAGGCACTCAGAAAATTTATATGAGGGAGTGAGCTGGACCTCTGTTAATGGACCTCTGCTAAATTTATTACTTGGTAAGTTCTGGACCTATGGTCCTTTTCAATTCAATTAGATGTTATACCTCTTTTGTTGCAGTAGGGTATGGTAATGTGGCAGTCTTTCATTTATTTTTGAACTGTCTTGGCAACTTATCCTAGATCTCTACCTAAAATTCTTTTTTTAAAAAAAATGTATTTGATACAGTGTCTCACTATATAGCTAAGACTTGTAGTGATCCTCCTATTTTTAGCCTCCCCAGCCCTGCACCACCATGCTCAGACTTGGTTGCTGACTCAGTGAACCCAGAAGTGGGGCCAGTGCCACATGTGGTGCTGGGATTGAACCTTGGTCCCTGTACTTACCTAAGCAGGTGCTTAGTCCTCTGAGTTATCTCACTGGCCCTCTACCTAAAATTCTTATTAAAGTTATAAGTTATTTTGGAGTACATACATCTTACTACCCTAGCATATTAGCCACAACTTGTTCCTCTTGGCAGGCCAGCATGACTCATTGATGTAAAAGATAAACATGAAGTTGTACAGAATTCCAGACAGTGCATAAGTCTTCTCAATATATTTTGACAAAAGGTAAGATGGTTAACACAGTTTTAGGCAGAAAGTATATCCCTTATATATGTTAAAACCCTCTTGACCAATTTGGGGGGGGGAGATCTGAAGCCTTATTAATTTGTGTAAGCAATAGTATATTATCTAGCATGGAAACTATGATTTTTCTTTTTTGATATTGTTAGAATCTACAGGCATTGTCCAGGTTCTATCTGGTTTCTGCAGGAACCCGCGGAGTCCATTAATCTCCAGGGTAAACTAAATATTGGTTTTAATTTTCTACTTTAGGTCAGTAGTATCTGAGGCTTGCAGTTGGTCCTCCTCTACAGCAGCCAAGGACCCAGTGTGGAAGTCACCCTGCAAGCATCTTCACCACAAGAATACATTCATGGCCATTTAGCATGCCAGCAGAACAAGTAGATTGACAGCAAGCTAGTCTTTGACTAGTATCCTTTTATATGACTGCAGGTGACCAACTCTAATAGAGGCCTATGATGATATTTTGGTTTTCTACATATTAATGTCAACTTAGATCCTGTACTCAGTAGCCTTCAAACTATGGGGACATTTCTGTTTTAAATATCTTTTCATTCAAGTAAACATCATAAATCCCTCTGGAAAAGGAATAGGCAAACCCTTAAAGTATGTACTTATGAGTATATACTAGTGGGGACACAGGCACCTCTTTGGTCAGTGGGACTGAAAACTGGTTCCAGTCCAGTAACTGAGAAAGCAATAATGGTTTCTTCTTTTTTCTCTACCACTACTAAAACTAACTGCCATTTCAGATCCTCCTCAAGGCAATGTCAAAGCTAAGTTATGAGTGCCAGAGTTTTATTGGTTGATGCCAATAAAAACTGAGGCATCAAAGAGCACAGTATGGGAAACGGGAGAGAATAACTTTACAGTGGAGAAAACTGACAGACACTACACCAGCCAGGTGATAAATGTCAATACCCACAGTAGTATGTCAGGTACATAAGCATTCTTGATCTGTTACGATAAAAACAGCACTTTACCTCTGTGATGTTCTTCCCAAGAATATATAATCCCAGTCTAACCAGGAAAAAATCATCAAACAAACTTCTAGGGGATTTAACAAAATATTAAGCAGTATTCAAAGCTGTCAAGAACATCAAAAACAAAGTCTGAGAGAACATCACCAATAGGAATCTAAGTGCTTCTGCAATTGCTGAACTTATATCCTTAATAGGATCCTGGAACAGACAAGAATTTTAGGTAAAAACTAAAAAAATGTGAATAAAGTAGGAGCTTTATTTCATCATACCGGTATTCATACACTAATTGTGAAAAATATCAATCTAGACATTAGTAACAAGGGAAAATAGATATGAGTTGTATGGAAATTTAATAGTGTTTATGTAGTTTTTCATTAAATGTAAATATGTCCTAAAATAGGTAAGTATTTTTTGTTGTTGTTTTGTTTGGTTTGGTTTTTTGGTGGAACCAGGGATTGAACTCAGACCCTTGCGCTTGCCAGGGAAGCACTATCTACTGAGCCATTTCTCCAGCCCCCTAAAATAGGTAAGTTTTATAAGAAAATAAAAAATATATTTTGTTATTGTCTCAGTTACTTTTTCCTCATTGCTCAGACAAATATCTGACACTCAAAATGAAAGAAGGAAAGGTTTGTTTAGCTCACAGTGGGGGCTTCAGTCCATACTTGGCTCGCTCCAGGGCAGAAGGCAGCAGTTCATGAGGAAGGAGCAGCCGTTGCAGCATCTGCCAAGCCTCTCTCCCTTCCTTGCACACTGAACGTGAAGACCGGAGCTCCACTCCGAAGGTGGGAGCTGCCCTGAATCTGCATGCTGCACAGACACAGAGGTGCAGTGAAGATGGGAGCTCCTCCAAGGAAGTGGGGCACACAGAAGCCTTCCTCAACCCCTGTATGTACCCTTTCTGCGCTGAGCCTCTCTAGGGTGGTCCCTCCCTGCCCTAGGACGGGCCCCACACCCCAGGGCATGGAATGGCCAAGAGGATCCAGCCATGCTATGACATCTCAAGTTGACAGTGCATCAGCCACCACAGTTGTACGT